AGAAGCAGAAACCAGTCTGAGTGTCAGAGATATCATGGGCGTGATTCAGAATAATCGGGCTGGGTTGGGAAACACGGCGCACAAATACTTCTCCAAGGAAAAAGCAAAGGGAAAAAGGCGGATGGTAATTGAAAAAATCAAAATGTTCGAAGAGGAGCATAGAATAGGTACTGCTATTACTCAAGCGAAACAATATAAGTGGAATATTTTTGTGGTCGTCTATAATGATTTTTACGAGCGCGTCAATAACGGCAAACACGTTCAGGAAACTTTCATTATGGATAGAATTTACATAAAGGAACGATCAATTAGCTTATCTTCATACCCTGCCTGGTGGCAAACGCTGCTGGTGGCGCCAGGGGTGGCGGTCCCGACACGGCCACCGAAGCCGTGATATCCCCCTGGTCGGCGGCTGATGAAGACAGGGTATCGCACGAGCTAACACACGTTATATGTTATATATATATATATATGTGTGTGTGTGTATGTGTTTGTGTATGTGTGTGTGTGTATGTATGTATATATATATATGTGTATATATGTATGTATATATATATGTGCATATGTGCACGTATGTGTATATATATATATGTATATATATATATGTATATATATATATGTATGTGTATATATACATGTGTGTATATGTGTATATATATCTGTGTATATGTATGTATGTGTGTATATGTATGTATATGTACATATATATTTATGTATGCGTATATATATGTGTATATATATATATATATATATATGTATATATATATATATATATATATATATATAGTTAAACCTGGATAGCCAGACAACCTACCACGGTTTCACCTTTGCGGATCGTCAAGGAAGGCTGGCGAAAAGGTAAAAAAGAACAGAAAACTTACAGTTTTTGTGTACTCGGGTTTTTTTTTTCTTTGTGCTTTGGACTTGCATCCTAAACTATTATTTTCGGCTAACGTACATGTTCCTGGTTCTTTCTTTTTTATAGGTTTTTCCCCTTTGGTATTGATTTGGTTATTTGCAAATCAAGACACCGAAGGTTTTCCGAACGAGTATAGTTTATTATACTTAGAAGATTACAACTACTACTAATATATATATATATATATATATATATATATATATATATATGTATATATATATGTGTAAATATATATATGTATATATGTTCATATATATATATATATATATATATATTAAGAAATGGACAAAGTCCGACAATTTATTTATTAAAGACATTTTATGTTTAACGTTCTTTTTTTAGATACAAGTATTTAAGTAAATGCTCTGTTTATAATAAACAGTATTAAATAACATTTACCGGCCTGAATGTCCGAGAAATTTTCATAGAAAATATTCGTCCTTTGACAGGATTCGAACCTGCATCCTATACGGAACCGTCATTTACGCTGACGTGCCTTACCGATCGGCCACAAAGAAGCGTTCGGTAGACAAGGTCGAATTTACTGCTTATAAACTTCAATCTTCCATGAATCTCGAACATCCATAACTGCTTTGGCGTATCAAATGTAAACAAATGACGTCATATATTAAGAAATGGACAAAAAGTCCGACAATTTATTTATTAAAGACATTTTTATGTTTAACGTTCTTTTTATAGATACAAGTATTTAAGTAAATGCTCTGTTTATAATAAACAGTATTAAATAACATTTACCGGCCTGAATGTCCGAGAAATTTTCATAGAAAATATTCGTCTTTTGACGGGATTCGAACCTGCATCCTATACGGAACCGTCATTTACGCTGACGTAATATATATAATTATAATATAATTATAATAAACAGTATTAAATTCGACCTTGTCTGTATTTTGTCTTTTTTGTATTTGTTTTTTATGTGGACGGCTGCCTCTCTAAGGGTGTTTTCGAGTCGACCCACGAAGTCTGTTAATTTTTCGCCGTTCCAGATCCCACTCCTGACACCAGTGTTATTGACAAGCGTATGGTTGCAAGAAAGAAATACGACAACAGCAGAAATAGATTTACGTGGTTTATTCAACAGGAACGTGTGGGTTTGGGACAGCTACCTTGTGGTAAAGTTCATAAGCCGGCTTCGGATCTAGGTCGATCTCTCATAGTAGTTCACACATGTTGACGGTGGTTGATGCTCCCCTTCTGCTGATCGCTCGTCCTGACCGTGACAAGTCTGTTTTGTGGCCACCTGTTGACTGCCTGTTGAACTTCCGTGTGACCCCTTTTATAGCGTTGTTTTATGGCTTAACAAGCTCGAAAAACGAAGCGAGTATAATTAGGAGGGAAGCATTTTTATTGGACGAAAAATAGAACACTTTAAATATTATTTTATTTTTCAACCGGAAATCGCGTGTCAGGAACATTTGTAAACGGAGATAATGGTTATTATGTGACGGGGCTTTGTCCCGTTCACATCCGGCTCTCGCTCTTGAGTATTTGCCCGTAAATCAGCCGAGATATGTCTTATTTTATTTTATAACACAAAGAAATAATCACACATAGAATCAATCAACAATATTAATGCTATTATTGGCGACATCCATCGCTAGTAGTGTATAATGTATGCATTAAAAATACTGTTAATCCATAGAGTGACGTGATCCTCATTTATAAAACATTTTATAAACATATAAACATGAATTTTCGACTGGCGACGTCCAATCCGTGTTGATGGCGAGGAGAACACACAGAAAAATCACGGGAATATAGCTAACTTGGGTTGACCATGTTGATCTAGATTCTCGCGTCGGCCCTTTGGTTTTTGATGGCATCTAATTCTTCTGGCATCAAACAACGAAGTCTGGTTCTGGTGACAACTGCTTCTTCTAATGGCAAATAGCTAAGACTGTTTTGTTTTTTTTTTTGGTGACGTCCGACCCCTCCGACAGAGAGCATCTATGTGTGGTTGTTGTTACCTCAACACGTGCGAAACGAAAACTGCTATATGTTGAGTCACGTGTTGAAAAAAAAAAGGGTGTGCGTCATTCACGGACCCTGTTAATGTCATCCACACTTATCTGTCAAACAGCGATGGGGGTAGAAGGGAAGGTTCTTTTCCGAGAACTGGCCCTGACTCATCTGGTTATAAAAACAATATATATCTCACAATCTACACATTCAAGAAATAAAGAAGTTAAGAGTCATATGTTTCGTCGCAAATACAAAAGGTACTGAAAATATACTTATAAAATCTGAGGTGAGGGTACAAATATGGGGTTAACGTAACAATGTATATATGTTTATATGTACATATATGTATATGTATATATGTATGGGTATATTTGTGTATATGTATATATGTATATATATGTGTATATATGTGTATATACATATATGTATTTATATACTCTCAACCCAGAAAGTAAGACGTCGGAGTTTGAGGGGCTGGGGCGAAAGTGTTAGACTGGTGCCGTGTTAACCGTGTTAATTACCATGGCCGTCTGAAAGAGAAGAGAAGGTTGCATTTGTTTTGTCCAGTCGGGACATATATATATATATATATATATATATATATATATATATTTACACATATAGATATACACATATATATTGTGACCTAGCCACGATTTCATTAACTACATAGGCATAAGGCTAAAAAGCACCCCAAAGTAAAATCTTAAATTCTCGTCGAAAATTAGATATAAAGGAAAAATAAATAAATAAAAATAGAAATTTAATCCAATTCTTTCAACTTGCGAGCGAATATGTTCTACGATCAGCCATACCCTCCACTTCACAAATTCTTTCCCTATTTATCTACTCTTCCACCCACAAGCCAAGGGCCCGTGAACTTTGAAATGACCCGACGCGAGAATGACCTGGTTCCAAAATTTCGCAGCTATCAGGTGGCTGACCATAAGTGAATTCCAGGCACCATCAGGATCTCCTGCTGCGATTCACATGATCAGAACATACTAAGCGTGGATTGAACTTTTGGCCATCACACAAACACTGCGTGATTTGCGCCCTATCCTCCTGTGTACCCGATCAAGGACGAAGGGAACCCACGTGACTGTATTTGGGGACAGCAAAAATCTAAAGAAGGATTTTAATTTCCCTCTGACCAGCGGCGGTTGAACCGTCGCTGGGCAAAATCGTCAGACTGCCCACTGAAATGAAGAAGACAGCAAAGCCTGTCGACTAGGGATGAAAGGACTGCTATGAAACTGAATCAACCCAACGAAACGCCTGTACGAGATGCTGTGGACCATCGAACACTTGTGAGGAAAAAGGAATCCAGGAAAATTGCCGGCCGACCAAAGTATTGTTGTAGAGATAAGAACTTTCCTTCGGCGAATCAGAACTTTGTGTGAAAATACACATTATTTTGAAATCCATCGTCTTGTGTGTTGTTCTTCGTTGATTCCCTTGTGTCGCTTCCATTTCTGAGTGAAGACCGAGAAAAGATCCCACGTTTTCATTTTTTTTAAACCCGTGGTTCATCTATATGCTACAAGTTCGTAACAATACACACACACACACACACACACACACACACACACACACACACACACACACACACATATATATATATATATATATATATATATACATAAGGAGGAAAAGAGAAGGAAGCAAAAGAAGAATGAAAAAGAAACAAAACACGGAACGGCCGACCTCAGGTAAGTCACTTTTTGTTTTCCTTTGTTCGGTTATTGCACTTCGATCTGCCAGTAATATTTTTGATCTTGTTTTGTCTTTTCGACTTTGTACACAGTTGAAGCGCCACCACCGTGTCAAGTATTTTTCTTTTCGTTCTGTCGTTGGTATCTCTTCTCGTGAGAAAGTGGTAGTTGACAAGTCTCTAGGATGAGAGTAGCAGGATCAGATGCCACAGATGACCTTGGGGACGTGGGAGCCCCCGAAATATCGATGGGTTTCAGGAGGCTGATAGGTAGCATGAAGCTACCTACTTATAAAGGAAACCCCGAGGACCTGCACGAATAGATTCTGTCCATTCAGAAGAAGCAGGTGATCTATGGCCTTCTCGGACCAAGAAATGGTGCTCCTAGCTTACGGCGCCGCAGCGGGGCCGGTGCTCAAATTCATAGAGGGAGGGGTACAAAGAAAACCCGGCCCTGACGTGGACCAAGCTTAAATCTGCTCTGGTGCAGCAATACGTACGGCCACTGAGGCAGTCAGGAAATTATTCCGGCTGCAGCAACAAGGAGAGACGAATGAAAAACTGGAAAAAGCGGCGTTAGCTTTTCCGGAGTTGGCGACTCGGAACAGTGGTCCTATTCAGGCATTTTTGGCTGATGTGTATGTGGACGCGCTGAGTGACAGGGACCTGAGTGGCGATGTTCTGAAGTGGGGACCTGTCTGCCTGGCCGTAGCCATAGAGGCGGCACGGACGAGCGAACGACTCTGGGATAGAATAAGAGGGGTGTAGGTAGGAACCCGGGGGGCAAATAGTGATGAATAAGAAGAATCGGGAGCGGATCCCGATACGGGACCCGTAAGAAGAGGTAGAAGAGGACTGGAAGGCTGAGGTAGTTCCCAGTAGGAGAGCCTGGGATCTGCGTTATGGGTTTCACAAGCCCACACTGGGCCAATATGGACTGATGTGCTGGACTTGCAAGTATGGTGGGCATCAGGCCCGCGACTGTCCGACAAACTATGGAGACGACTCAAGGTCTTTGGGGCCGAACTGCACGACTTGTGGCGAGTTCGGGCACAAGGCTCGGTTGTGTACGGCAGAAGGAGACCGTAAACCGGGGATAAAGCGAGTTAAACTCTGGTGCCCCCTACCAAGAAGGAAAAGGGTCCGGGAAACGCCGCGCTGTGTCACCCGTGAAAAAGTAAAAGGCAGGGTGGCCCCAGTGCAAGTAAGACCTCTGAGATGCTGGACATGTGGTATGGTCGGGCACTTTTCGGCAAGTTGTAAGGAGCGAAGGTGTTGGCGCTGTGGAGGAGCGGGTCACCTGAGACGAACCTGTCCTCGCAGGGGACCACGCCGAACGGAACAACCCTATCTCGTATAGAGTGGAGAAATGGATTGATAGTCCGAGAAAAGAGAGTCATCCGTGGTCTACCCCCACTTAGGAGGGCCCCTAGACAGAAATGGGAGCCCCAAGAAAAAGTTGAACTCCTGTCACCGACTCCCACGTCTTGGTTGTCGAGTGGAAGGGAGAGAACATACGGGAAGGAGAAAGACACAGGTATACCGTTTGCTGAAGGAAGGGCCAGATTTCTCCTGTAATGTGTTGCTGGGAGACAAGAAGGTGAAGGCCCTTGTCGATACTGGAGATTCAGTGTCACTGGTTAGCTCCAAGGCTTTTAGACAGTTGGGACTGAAAACGAAGCTTAGTCCCGTCGATCTACTAAGAAGTCAGGCTGAGGATAGAGTGTATGTTGTAGCTACCTTTCCAGTTGGCAAGAACGAGAGGTAAACTTAAGGTTTATGTGGCATCTGACTTGTGTGGTGAGCTAATTTTGGGGAGTAATTGGCTTAGGCAGAATAAGGCACAGATCCGTTTCGACCCCGCTACCCTAACATTGGATGGGGTAGGGATACTGTTGGGAGAAGATAATTATGAACAATTGCCAGTGGTGGCCCAGACAGATATAAAGCTTCCCCCTAGGACTACTGTATCTGGGAAGGGCAAGATTCATAGAGGAGTGCTGAACATCAAGTGGTCCCTACTGATAGGCATGATAATAGTGAAGGGGAAATAACCGTGTGTGACTCGTTGGTCAAAGGGTTAACTTACTGTTAACCAATACTACCAATAAAACTATTAAAATAATGCAGGGAGAGGAGCTGACACAGGCGTGCCCAGTGAGAGAAGTTGAACAGCTGAGAGTATGAAATGAGAATAGGCCTGGGAATAAGATAGGTAACAATGGAATAAGGGATGAAGATATAACAACTCCTGAGCGTTATAGGAGGAGATTGAGTGGGGTTGCTGAACGGTAATAAATGCCATTACGAAACCGCTGACGGTATCCCTCCCCTTGATTGATAATATTCTAGCTCTTTTATAAAAGTCTAAATGTTTTTCCACCTTGGATTTGAGGTCGGGGTATTGGCAGGTAGCACTTAGCAAAAAGGTTCAGGAAAAGACCGCTTTTACCTGCCAAATTTTAGAGTTATGCCGTTTGGGCTGGCAAACGCCCCGGTTGTATTTAGTCAGTTAATGTCCATCGTATTGAATGGCACTCAGGCCTTTGCTATGGTGTATCTAGATGACATCATGGTGTTTTCAAAATCAACGGAGGTGTATTTTGAACATCTGCAGAAGGTGTTCGATAGGTTAAGAGAACATGGATTAAAGTTAAAATTATCGAAGTGTCAGTTTATGAAAGAAGAGACAAAGTACTTAGGGTTTAAAATGAAGGAATAAAAATGGATTTAGACAAGGTAGAGGTTATAAAACCGTAAGAGAGATTAGGGGATTTATTGGCGCCATCGGATATTATCGGAGGTTCATACCAGCATTTAGTCGGCTCGCAAGCCCTCTAATAGCTCTAAGAAGCATGCTATGTTTAAGTGGACTGAGGATTGTCAGCGTGCATTCGAGGCTCTAAAGGATCAGCTGACAGCTGTACTCCTGTTGGCCTACCCAGACCTGAGTAAGCCCATGCTAGCGATAAGTGAATCAGGGCAGTTCTTACACAACCATGTCCCGATAAGGATGGACCAGTACCGGGTATGCCTGAGGAAGTGCCGATCTATTTTCTGTCTCATCGGCTCTCCGAGACTCAGCAAAAGTGACCAGTAATAGAAAAAAAAGGCGTTCGCCATTCTATGTGCTGTGCAGAAATTAGATTATTATTTGAGTGGGGCTGTGTTTACCATTAAAACAGACCAGCAGCCCCTGAAATATCTGTTAGAGGCAGAGTGGACGAAACAGAAGATACAACAGTGGTCATTGAAGTTCAGTGGGTATAACTGCAGAATAGAATATTTGGCAGGGAAGGATAATACCTGTGCTGACCTGTTGTCGAGGATTCCGAGGCAATTAGAGACCGAATCTGTCAGGTTGGAGCCGGGTGTAGATGATAAAGCATTTCAAATTAATGTGATCAATTCACAGGCGTTGAAGGAGAGACTTAGTTGGGAAGATCAAGAAACTAATGAAACGGAGATTGTTCCCGACCCGCACTGGAGAGATATTATTAGGGAAAACCAAGAGGATAGTGAGATAGCAACTATCAGGTCCAGGGTAGAGGCAGAGCGTACCTCCAAATATATGGTGCATGATGGAGTGTTGTATTACCATTTAGGAAGAGATGAAGAAGTAAGTTTAAAAATGGTGATACCTGAGAAGTTGAGAGCTGAAATTCTAGACCAATGCCGTAGGAAGTTAGAACACTTGGGAATTGATAAGACGTATGGATTAATAATGAGAAATTACTACTGGCCTAAGTTGTTTAATAATGTTGTGAACCATGTAAAAAAATGTGTAACATGACAAGTACAGAGTCGAAGGAGTAGGGTTGCCCCAGTATTAGAAACGGATGTTCCGAATTATCCATTTCAGAAAGTAAGCACGGGCCCTATGGAGAAACACATAGAGGTAATCTTTACATAGTGAGTTTTGTGGACTGGCTGGCGAATTGGCCTGAGGCATATGCCATACCAGATAAGAAGGCACGAACGGTGTCAGATATAATACTGAACGAAATATTCCCTAGGTATGGGGCTCCCGAACAGTTGGTTACCGATAATGGATCGGAGAATGTGAATCAGATTATGAGAGAGACGTTGGGAGAATTAAACATACAGCACACAACCATCTCTCCATATCATCCCCAAAGTAACGCTAAGGTAGAAAGATTTCATAAGACCCTCGCTGATGTGTTAGCTAAACTAACAGAGGATAATAGGGAAAATTGGGATTTATTCGTAACCCAACCGTTAGCAGCTGTGAGATTCTCGATGAACGAGAAGACAAAATTTTCCCCTTATTACTTAATATATGGCAGGGATGTAGTCTTACCTATAGGCAATCTGTTACGATCTAGGAGGAAGTATTTAGGAGAGGATCATCACCAAATAGTTTTAGAACAACAGCATAAACTTTTTACGCAGGTGAGGAGTAGGAGGATTCAAAGAGCCTAGAAAAGGCAAAGCGATAGGGTAAATAAAAATCTTTCCTTCCAGATAGGTGATCAAGTGTATTATAAAGTACACATGAGAAAAGGTAAATTAGACCAGAAATAGAGTCCATACTATAGGATCATGGAGCAGACGGGTCCGGTTTCCTTTGTGATCTGAGGCCAATTGACCGGACAGGTAAAGAGAGTGCATGCGAATGATATAAAGCTAGCTGAAATAGGAGAATGGAAAGGAGCCGAAACAAAAACTCAACAGAAAAGGCCGGGGAAAACTACGTTGGTAGAACCCAAAGGGTTAGAGACTGAGAGTGAAAGTGAAGGGAGTGAGGAGATTGAAATTAGCCCAACTACCCTTCGAAGGCCGAGGGAGGGAAGTCGGATCCCAGCGGGACATTCTGTAGAAGCAGGGATTGAGCCTAACCTGAGGGAAGAAGAAGAACTGAGTGAATGGGAAGAAGAGGATGAAATTCCGTTAGCTCAATTGCAGAGTAAATTGCGGGCTGAAAAAGCACCCATTGTTAATGAGGAATTACCACTAAAACGGCGATTGAGGGGAGCGGTGAAGCCCGAGCCCAAGGGCTAAGTGAAACCAGTAAGGTGGCTGTGGTGAATGAGTGACGGTCTGGAACTAACTGTGCATTTGTCATCAGTGCTGGTGAACAGTGTGGACGGGCCCCATGCATGCACGGTGCTGGTGGTGGTATGGGTCGGTGCTTGAGGTATCGCTCTAAGATGTAACCACCTGATAAAAACAATAAGAGAATGATTGAGCAAGACGAATTATTCTCTTCATCTCTTTGCAGACATGGACGAGAGGAGGCTCGTGGTACTGACGATGCTAGTTGTGGGAGCTAATACCTGGGAACACAGTGAGAATACTGTATTTAAGAAGACTAGCGAAGTGATTATAACTAGATCAAAGTGGTTGATAACTTTGGTGATAGATCTGCCACCGTATGAGAACTTACTGGGTCAGTTGAAGACCGAAGTGGACAAACTAGATACAGACAGGACACAAGTCGCCGGAGACTATTTACAGACTCCGGAATACCACCATATATTATACCCCTTAGCCTAGGAATCCCTAATACTTGAGAGACAATGGAAGGATATGAGTTACTATTTGAAAGTAATAAAGTTGTTACGGACCAGGCAAAAGAGGGCAGTATTACCTATAATGGGAAAGGCGTTAAGCGTGTTGTTTGGTACAGTCTCTGAAGATGAAGTGAGAATAATTAAGAGGAAATTAAAGGTGGTAGAACAGAGACAACAAGCAATGGCTCAGTCAGTTAGAGAGAGCGTATCCATACTCAATGTTACTAGGCTAGAATTGGCTAAGAATAGAAGGAGTATCAATTGGTTAATTTCTCACCAACAGGTTTTTAGAAAAGAAGTGATAAATATAACCACGTCTGTAACAACCGAATTACAGAAATTAGAGGTTTTTTTGCAAAGGTATTTTCAATTATTAGCTATAATGAGTAAGGTACGTCAAACAAGTCGCTCTTTAACGGTGTTGTTAGAGCGTGTGAGAGCACAATTAGTCGCTGGGACACCTGTCTCTGAGTATAATAGCCCCAGAACGATTAAGGAGATACAAGCCAAAGTACCCCATCATCTTAGATTACCTGTAGACCCCACCCAGCAGTTATGGAGGTACTATAGTGCCTTGGGATGTACTACCTTGTTGGAAGATGATAAATTGCTAGTGCTAGTGTCGTTTCCATTACTGGACAGAGATAGTACCTTTCATCCGGTGATGAATCCAAAACTAAGGCCGAAGATAGGAGCGGTGGCTAGGTACAAGGTAGAGACGGAATTTGTTGCCCTAAACCTAGCCAGGACAGAATTTATGCTATTAACAAAGGGAGAAGCAGAAAAATGCAAGAATGATGCCTTAGGTATCTGTGGGTCTGTAAGTCCAACAGGTAGTCACAATCTGTGTGTACTAGATTTATTTAAGAAAAATAAGAAGGGAATTAGAGATCATTGTCAGGTAGAGGTGTTGGCTAGTGTAATGTTACCTAAAGTAACCAGTGTCTCTGACGGAATTTGGGCAGTGACCACACAAGAAGAGATCGAATTATCTAAGGTGTGTGAAGGGAAGCCCACCACTACGATAAGAGTTATTCCCCCTTTGTTTTTTTGTAGAGCTACCCATTGGTTGTGGAGCTCATGGTCCATCTATCTCTTTACCTCCTTACTACCAAGCAGAAGTGAAGTTTGAAGAGAATGAGGCTTTGTTAGAGCTGGTAGGAACGAATGCCAGTGGATGGACGGGATTGTGGGAACCCATTTTAAGAGAGATTCTTACGATGTCGCTAGAAAAGATGCCGGCATTGTTAAGGCAAATCGATAAGATTGATCTTGGACGGTTGAAGTCGGGCTGGAGAGAGAATTTGGTTGCTATAATAACCTGACCGACCGTTGTGGGAATTATTCTAATGGTAGTCGTGGCCTTGCTGGTTTGGTGGTGGTTGAAGAGGTGTGTGGTGTTGTCGACCGGGCAAAATAAACTGGCACGGGAGTGCATGAGTGAAAGAGGGATTCCAGTTAGTGCACTTTACCAAGATAGGTCCGACCCGAGTGCATTGGGACCCATGACTGATATTGAAGAAGTGTTCACGATTGTCGTGGAAGGACCTGAACCAACAAAAGATTCGACAAAGCCTGTTGTGAAGGCGAGACAAAATTGGAGGGACAGATTTACGAAGTAAATCGAATTTTCTTTTATTTTTAGTATTGAGACTGAAATAATTGGTAAGGAGTGTTGCGAACTTAAAAAAAAGAGTAAAGAACCCTCGAACTAGCGCACTATGTGAAAAGGTTCTATTGTACGAGAACATCAAAACAGGAAGTTGCATGTACATATGTATCGTAAGGACAATGAAAATGTAAATGGGCCTAATGAGCCCTAAGAAGAACTAAGGACTCTACCTTTGCATGCTGGAAGAGACATATGTTTAAGTAGCCCCTAGTAAGAAGCATGTTGGACTGGGTTTTCTCATATTTTGTTGATATGAAAGCTCGTGTGTCATTTACTAGTAAATGACAGATGGGTAGGGAAGGAAATGTGACAGAGAGAGAGAGTCTGGGAAACACACACACACACACTCGTATATTTTTTTTACTAAAATTGGGTGGATTTGAATAGCGAAATTAGATCAGAGAATTTTTGTTTACTGGTGGTGAAATTTGATCTAGGAGAGAAGTTGTACCCATTGAATATGGGTCAAGAGACAATTAAATGGTCGAAATAATTTTTATCGTTTAAAAATGGAAATAGAGCTGAGTAAGCAAGGAGGACCTTTAGAATTCACATGATTTTGGTTGAAACAGCCAAAACCCCGTGATAATCACATGCGAAGGGGTAGGGCCAAGGGTCAGTTATAACCAGCCTGGTTTAACTATATAAACTCGTAGTTATGCTGAAAAAGACAGACGGGAGAAATTTCTTGAAGAGAGAAGAGAAAATTGGCCCGGGCGAGCGTGCAGACGGAAGAGGCAGACGGAAGAGAGAGACAGAAGAAGCAGACGGAGGAAAGAGACAGAAGAGAATTAGCCCGGGCAAGAGTTGGGCTAGAGACAGTGGAGAGTCGAGTTGGAAACTCAATAAGGAGAGAACGTCCAAAGTGTCCACTAACATGTGCTGTTGATATAAGTACCGCTGCTTCTGCTACAACGAGTATTACTACTACTGTTACTACTGCTAAGGAGGAATGCAACTATAAACTTTAAGCGGCGCACAGAAATCTTCTACCCCCATCGCATCGATTTAACAACAAGGTAATCATAACTCTCTCTCTCTCTCTCTTTCTCTCTTTCTCTCTCTCTCTCTCTCTGGACATTAACAATTCAATCATTGAATAATTGTTTGTCCGGCTTTCTGCAGATATTTATTAAACACAACGTGAGCAGGAAGCAGGATTAAACCACTGGTCCGGTCGAATAATCTACGGATGCTCAGGGGACCTACGGCCACTCCCTTAAGTATATAATATATGTATATATATATATATATATATATATGTATGTAAATGTATATATGTATGTATATATGCATGTAAATATATGTATACATATATATTTGTGTATATATGTGTATATATATATTTGTGGATATATGCGTATATATATGTATATATATGTCTATATATATATCTATAAAAGTATATGTTTATATATGTGTATATATATGTATATATATATAAGTATATATATATATATATATATATATGTATATATATATGTATATATATATATATATATATCTATATATGTATATATATATATATATATATATATTTATATTTTTATGCATATATATAATTATATGTATATATATATATATATGTATATATGTATATATATATACGTATATATATATGTATATATGTGAATATATATGTATATATACATGTGTATATATATATATATATATATGTATATATGTATATATATTTATGTGTATGTATATATATGTGTATGTATATATGTGCATATATATATATGTATATATATGTGCATATATGTATGCATATATATGTATATATGTGTGTATATATATTTATATATGTGTGCATATATATGCATATATATATATGTATGTGTGTGTGTGTGTGTGTGTGTATATATATATATATATATATATATGTGTATACTAGCAGCATGGCCCGGCGTTGCCCGTGCTTGATTAAAAAATCACACGAATCATACAGTAATCGCTATCACTTGGCTTAAAATATTTTTGCTCTTCCTTGCCTTTAAAGGAGTGCCCTTTGCCGTGCTGATGTTGCGACATGCCTTACTTTTGCCTATCTCACACTGCGAAGTTTTTCTAAGCTCTACCCTAAATATTAAATCTGTTACGAAAAAAGAACTAAACAAAATGAACACAAAACGATCAGCTTTGAAAAAGGTCTCGTAACTGGAAAAACAGAAGGAAAAAAGGATGTTAACAACAAAAACTTTTTCACACCCAACCCAGTTCTGCGGAATCAGAATCAACGTTGAGTTTAAGCAATCGAAAGTGCCATGCAGATTTAAATTTTTCCCACTTGTGACGAATGGAGCTATCGATTTTTTTTGCATGCTAGTTTACAATCGTGTCAGTCAGTTGTTGGCTCTCACGCTGGCCAGTAGAATCTTCCTGCATATTAGTGGCAGCCAGCTATAGGCTGTCACTCTGGCCAGTACAAAATGGCCGCAAACTACATAAAAACTGCCCTAGAAGCATGAAAAATCGATTATTTCCACTATCGATGAGAGTTGGGAAATGCAAAGTCATCAGCTTGGCCTTCCCACTAACTTGGAGCATGTCCATGTAAATTTTGGTGCAAATCCGTCGAAAATTGCAGCCATTCATTATTTCATTACACACACACACACACACACACACACGCACACACACACATCATCCTGCCTTTTATAGATAGAGATATATATGTATTTATACGTGTATATATATATATATATATATATATTTATATTTATACGTATATATATATATATTTATTTATACGTGTATCTATATATGTACTTATATGTGTATATATATATATATATATATATTTATATGCGTATATATATATGTATATATATCATGTGTATTTATATGTACATATATGCGTGTATATATATGTGTATATGTGTATATATATATGTATATATATATGTATATATATTTGTGTGTATATATTTAGATATGTATATGTGTGTATATGTATGTATACATGTATATTTGTATATATATATATATGTGTGTATGTATGTATATATATATATGTGTGTGTATATATATGTATACGTATATATGTGTATATATATATATATATGTATATATATATATATATACACATATGTGTATATATACATATGTATGTACATGTATGTATATATACGTATATGTGTAAAAATATATGTATATATCAAAATGTATTATATGTATATATATATATGTGTGTATATATACGTATATATGTGTGCGTATATATACGTAATTTTTTTTTCGTATTTTGCTTTGATAAAGTCCACATAAAAGTCTACATACAAGTTTTCCTATTGTCATTTTCATTCATAAATATGTATATATCTCTATATGTGTGTATATATAAGTGTGTGTAAATATATATGTATGTATATGTGTGTATGTATATATGTATATATATATATATATGTATATATTTGTATATATATATATGTGTATATATATATATATGTGTGTATATATATATGTTTATATATATATATATATATATATATATATATATGTATGTATATATATATATATATATGTGTATATATATATGTATGTATATATATAGATGTGTATATATGCAGATATATGTATGTATATGTATCTGTATTATTACGTATCTATGTATATATATATAGATATATATATATATATGTTGTATATATATATAAATGTATATATATATATATATATGTATGTATATATATATATATATATATATATATATATATATATATATATATTTTATATATATATATATATATATATATATATATATATATATATTTATAAATTAATTGATTTAAAATATGTTTTTTCGCTACACAGTTCCAACCATGTTTCAAAAATAGAAGTTAAACACCCTGAATTTAATTTTGCAATTAAATTAAAAATATTAGTTCCATTTCATCTTCAAGCGAATTTTGGAGTAACTTTTAAAAATTACCGGGTTTTAAAGACACAGCTAAAATCACGTTTTCATGGTTACAGAATATTCTACTTAAATTGAACAAGGGATGTCTAGATTTTCCTTATGTCAGTATCATTGTATCAGTTATTAGCTTTAATTTGGTAAGGGGTAGGGATGTATTTTTTAATGAAACCTGACATCAGTTGAATGGATGTCGTCTGAATGTTTTTTTTTTAAATTGTTAACGGTAAAAAAAATTTCAACGTTTTTTTTAAATTTAAAGATTTTCGGGTTTTTTTTTTTGTTTTTTTTTCTAATACTTTTATTTAACTATGATTTGAAATATTCTCCTTTTTTAATTTTTATTTTACTACTATATTCTTTTTTTAGAACAGTTAAATGTATTAGAATCCATTATATTATGTAGGATTATTTTAACATCAAGTTTAAGTATGTATATGAGGTTACATTTTTTTTTTTTATATTTATGACTATAACAGCAAAAATGGTTACTTAATTTTGCTGATTTAGTAAACTTTTATTTTATATATAAACCTAGTGTTATAATGTTTCTCATGTAAGTACTAAGGACATGGGTCATTCAAAAGCATGGGTCATCTTATGGCATTTCATATTAATTTTATTTTACTATAGGTGTTTTTTTTTTTTTATTTGGATTCTTTTTAGTGCGTGTAGTATTATTTAAAAGAAATTTAGGTTAGAATTCATTCAATTTAACTACAATTTTAATTACAATTTCAGAATTACAACTTTAAAATTTTAAAATATTTTCATTGTTTAGTTTTAATAGACTATATACTTTAGACTTTATAACAGAAGGAAAATTACTCATAGTAAGTAAAATTATTTTTCAATATCCAAGTATATGTAAATTACAATTTTTTTTTTTTTTTTAAATTTAAATATTATTTAAGTAATATTAATGGCACTTACTACAAAACTAGCTAAGTCATTTCTCAGATTTAGTAAACTTTATTTATTAATTAATTAATTTATTTCAAATATATGTAACCTAAGTAATAAAGTTTCATATGTATGTATAAAGAACAGGTTAGAATTCATTTTATTTAACTACAATTTTAATTACAATTTTAAAATTACAACTTTAAAATTTTAAAATATTTTCATTGTTAGTTTTAATAGACTATATTACTTTATAACAGAAGGATAATTACTCATAGTAAGTAAAATTATTTTCCATATCAAAGTATATGTAAATTACAATTTTAAACTTTTATATTTAGATATTATTTAAGTAAAATTAATGGCACAGACTACAAAACTATCTAAGTCATTGCTCAGATTTAGTAAACTTTAAGTAATTAATCGAGTCTAGAAGAAACCTCAACAGAATGCAGAAAGCACTGGACGGCCGTTTAGTCCTATAATTGAAACCCGGAAATTTACATTGACAGGCAAACGTCATACCAACTGTACTAACGGGCCTCGGTGACGAAGAGGTAGCGAACTAGACTCGATATTGCGCCGCTCATTCACATATTCAGTGGTTGATCTCATCCAAGTTCTTTTATACATAGGACTGTGCCTCCGAGAGCCACGATTACCAACACCAAGCCGCTCCATCCAGAGCGTTAGAAGCCGGTTCAAGCAAGGATAGAAATTAAGGAGGATTTTAGATAATTAAGTAATTCATCGCGTTTAGAAGAAACCTCAACATAACGCAGAATGCGAGTCTAGTTCGCTACCTTTTCTTCACCGAGGCCCGTTTGTACAGTTGGTATGACGCTTACCTGTCAATGTAACTGTCCGTGTTTCAATTCTCGGTAGTGGATGCGCACTGCTGAAGTGTCCCAAATATAGGACGAAACGGCTGTCCAGTGATTTCTGCATTCTGTTGAAGTTCCTTCCAGACTCGATGAATTCCTTAATTAT